GTGGGGGTGAGGGGGTACCAAAGGTGATTGTAATCACAGTAAGCAGGAAATACCTTCAACAGCATTCTACATTGTTTCATTCAAATCCAGCTAACAGAGAGGAATCATATCTTAACAACAGTCATAAACAACAGCAGTGGCTTGCTTGATAGGGAAAGAGAAATAAAAATACATTATTTCCAAGCCACAACATTCCATGAAACTTAAAAGTGCAGACCGACTAATCATTACAATCCAATGTGTTGAGAGGACACACTTACTCGACATTTTCCGGCGTGTTGGGTGCCTTCAAAACACGTGGAAAACCACAAATGATCTCCCCTCTAAATAACATATAAGACAGTTCATATAATTTCACAGTAAAAAAAAAACATTCACATCTTGTAACGTTGCGAACACTTACGCTGTCCAGCTGTTCACACGACTCACGAGCAGCAGATTTCAAACTCCAAACCACGAAATTTTGCTCTACAAATACCATTCAAATGATTAATCACCCGTCCAAATATAACACTTAACATGCTTCATGGTAAAATAGCTACCAATTACCTGAATATCACCAGGAATAAATTGACGATTATTATGGGTGGATCAAGTTTGGACGAGCGGTATACAGTTCAGTGACTATCTTCCTTCACATGCATGTCATCCTCCGAGTGATGTGTCGGTCGCGAACCAGCCGGTACAAAGAGCCGGCTCTTTGAAGTGAACCAATGAGAAACGGCCCCCTCCCTCGAGAGCCGGCTCTGTCCCTTTTCCATCTCTCTTCCCCTCGCTCTCTCTATTTATGTCACTCTTTTTCACGTGTCTGAAGCGAGGTTTGGCAGTGGCTCAGCAGCCGTGCTCAGAAAGGGAGACAGGAAGAGAAAGGGGAGGGGCGAGGGGCTTGGTCCCCAGTCAGCAAAATTGGTCTGGCCCAGCTCTGGGGCAGACACGGCACGTGCACTCGGCCCACATACCTCAATGAATGACGGTCCTGGCATCCATGATGTGGGCCGCATTAGGCCCAGATCTGAGCCACATTGTATGACCATATCTGGCCCTACCCTGGGCCAGAACAGGTTCCTGATATCAGCCTTAATTCAACCTTAACTAAGCCACATCTTTCATGAGCCATATTTGACACACATTTTTTTAAAAAGTCTCAAAAAC